CAGACCGCAACAAATTGTCAACTAAAGACATAGGTACTAAGCGTGCACTAACTTCGAAGCGGTAGAAACCCTGAAGTTTAAACGTCAACTTACCACCATGTTGTTAATGGCAAAATGGTGATTGCGGCAAAGTGTTGGAGTCCTTCAGAATGGTGACGGTCTCCTTCAGACCGATGATAACGGTGACAAAGGTTTAGTTAGAGCCTAAGTTTAGTCAACGCACCCGACGACGTCGGTGTGCTTGTCATGGTGGCGACGAAAGCCTTCTTTCGCACATGCCTCAGCTGCCTCGGTCCGGGGTTTTGTCGACCCAACCGTCTCTTCCCAGCCGGTTGACAGCGACACTCACGACGGCCGTCAAGGCTCTGATCACCATTCACTGGGCATTAGCTATGTGATCATCGGGGGCAACCGCGCCCTTGTAGTTCCCCGTTGCGAAAAATCTCAGTGCGATTCAATTAGTAGCTGCTGCTCGACGGTCATCATCTCTCACCGTCGCCGTCTCTCGTTGTCACACTGCGATCACACGGTGCTTTTCGACAAGCGGTATTGTCGTCAGAAACAGTCGTCGTGCATCGCGAAGGCAACCGGGTGCTCGCGGAAAACCCGTCATTGTACGCGTAGCCATCGTTGAGCAACAAGCATCGCCGCCATTTTCTACGCTCTAGAATCCTGCCCAAAGCTTGTTCCGCTTCGTGCAATAGAAAGAGAGGTTAAAAGCACGAGCGCATCACCCCGAACGATCTTGCACGAACGTTGGCTTGCACTGCGCAAGCGCGCCTGCTCGACAGGGACGCTGAAAGCCCGGAGCACGTTCTTGTAGCTCCTACACCCGCACTAGCTCGCACTCATAGTGAAACAGAGAGTAGGGTGTGTCGAGTAATACCGCAGTTAATCTAGTGACGCGACTTCCGCTATGTGCTACGTAGGTCGGACGTGGTCATACGTCACTTTGTCGTCACGGTCCGAACTCGAAGAGCGACAGTTACGGCAAACGGTTGCTTTCGTGTTTCGCGAACGTTCCCATGGGAACCGCGTGGAATCATCACGCGGGCTGTGGCCAATAGGAGCGCGCGGTTCGTAGGGGGGAGGAGTTTTCGAGAAACTCGAACGTGACCGTTTGTGACCAGAATAGCACCCCAGGTCGGCTGTCCGCCGAAGAATTTCAACCTCTAACGGCGTCAGGTCCTCGAGCGTAGAGAACTCCGGCATGATCGAAGCTCGAAGGACAAAGAGGTTCGGACGATGCGGCTACCTCGGGATCACTGCGCGACAGAATGTCGTCCAACGCCATTGGCCCGAGATCCTTTTGATAAGCGTGCGAGGACCAATGAGAGTGGTTTCGTTTTCAGATGGATCCGAGGTTTGGCGGCCTTCAATTACATTTTTATTAAAGAAATAATCACCGTACGACTATACTTTTTGGTTTTTAGGGATACTTAGGGCGTCTAAATTCAGCTGTCATCATCAAAACACGAACTCAAAAACCACTTGAGTGCCCCTTTAACATTTTGTGCGTTATCTCTTAAACAGTCATTCGTGCATCTTCCCGTTTGTCCAAAGTAAGATTTTCCACACGTTAGGGTTCTTTCACAATATTTTTTGTCCTTAACAAGAAGATAAACAATGTCAAAAGTAGAAGATGCCAATTCTTTCAACGTGAAAAATTGTTGAAACGATCTTTCAACTTTCTCCTCTTTAGCCATCCTCCTCAACTCATAAATCGCGCATTGTACCGACGAGTTCAAGAGGACGTAAAGGAGGGAGTCCCCTCTTGCTCGGACCCTTGTCTGTGTACCCGGACTCACAGCCATTCTCCTCCTTGATTTGAAATTTGGCACATTTTGTGCGTTATCTCTTAAACAGTCATTCGTGCATCTTCCCGTTTGTCCAAAGTAAGATTTTCCACACGTTAGGGTTCTTTCACAGTATTTTTTGTCCTTAACAAGAAGATAAACAATGTCAAAAGTAGAAGATGCCAATTCTTTCAACGTGAAAAATTGTTGAAACGATCTTTCAACTTTCTCCTCTTTAGCCATCCTCCTCAACTCATAAATCGCGCATTGTACCGACGAGTTCAAGAGGACGTAAAGGAGGGAGTCCCCTCTTGCTCGGACCCTTGTCTGTGTACCCGGACTCACAGCCATTCTCCTCCTTGAAGATTAGCCCGTCGCACAAAACTCGAACAAAAGTTGCTTTCCCCGCTACTCTCACCTCAAAGCTGACAGTGCTGTGGAAGCTACGTGCTCGTTGGGCCAGCCACACTTTTTCCACGTGATCTCGCTCCCTCGTGCATACCCACGCGCGGAGAATGAGGTCAGGTGATGATAGAAAGGTGGGTGATTAGTCCGGCAAGTGCATATCTTCCACCGCACTGTCACATTAGGGGTGAAAGGAATAAGTGAGGTCCTGTGTCGTGTTAAGTGCGTTTGGGCTAGAGCAGAGTTGCGCATTCGGCCTCGGCGCGTGGCCGTAGCGCCGGCTTTCCCGCACGAGGTGAATGCTTTGCTCCTCACGTGACTAAATTTGGCGAATAGCGGCGCCGCACGCGCCGCCGCGCACGGAAAACAGGAGAGGAGGAAAAGGAGGCGGAAAGCAGGGAAACATACGCCGGGGCAAGAGAAAAGTCGGCGGAGCGACCGTAAAGGTGTCTTTCTTGCACGCCACCGGATGCTTTGCTCCTCACGTGATGGATCTCGGCGAATAGCGGCGTGGCGGCGCGGGTAAAACAAATGCGCAACTCTGGCTCCCGTAGGGAGCCTATGCAGGAACTCTAGTTTGGGCCTGGGGGGCTAAGCTCGCCTCCGGCGGGAATCTCTCCGATGCCACGTCGCGAGGGAGGGGAGGTGCTTCTTTTGACTCCGCCCCGGCGAGTTTCCCACTCCCCCTCTTACATTTCCGACCCCCCCGGCGGCGGCGAGTTCCCCAGCGTAGCTCCGATTTTTCCCTACGCTCCGCAGTGAAGGGTTTTTATTTTATTTAAATGGGGGATCGGTGGCCGGCTGGGCTAGCGCACACCAGCTCGGAGCACGTCGAGCGAAAGGTCCGTTGCAGAACCCAGGATGCTGGGTTCAATCCACACCCCTGCCCGTTTCGATGTTGATGAGCATCGTACCGGCGTGCAGTCGTGTAACACTACTGCGGGATGGACGTTAAAGACCCCAGGCCAGAGCTCTGCCCCAGGCTAGCGGTTGTGCAACACTGCATCGCTAAATTTCTCATCTACAGCTGGGAAAATCTTCCCCGTTGAGGCAGACCAAGTTTTAGGCGGTATCAACATACGTACAGCCCAATTTTGTTTTTTATTTAAATCGTAAATGACAAATAAGAATAGGTAACAGCAGGGATGCTAATTATACAAACATTGCTTGAATGTGGGCTAGTTGACTAGACATTGTGATGGTTTGCTGCGCCACGTACATGCAAGAAAAACGCTCTTGATAAAGATATAAAATAAAGCAGAGTATAGACGAAAATCAACATACAGGAATGGCGCAGACTAACAACTGTGTAACTTCTTTCTCATCTTTCTCCTCCCACACCGCCACACAGCCACAATATATATATATATATATATATATATATATATATATATATATATTTTTTTTTTTTTTTTCAGAATAGGGTGCACGTGGAGCGAAAGCTCGCGCTGCAGAACCCAGGATCGTGGATTCACCCCCACCCCTGCCCTTTTCGATGTTGATGAGCATCATACCGGCATGCGGTCATGTATCACTAATACGTGGCGCACGTTAAAGACCCTAGGCTAGCAGTCATACTGCACTGGCTAAATTGCTTATCTACAGTAGGTGACAATGTCGCAATGTTCTGGTATATTCTCCTGCTGTATAAACAACTAATGGCCAATTTGTTTGTCAAAATACGGTGTGGAAGAAGAAAGATGAGAAAGAAATTACACAGTTGTTAGTCTGCGCCATTCATGTAGATTGCTTTTCTTCTATCATCTGTTTTAGTTTGAATTTTATCAAGTGCGTTTATCCTGAATCTACGCAGCGCAGCAACCCATCAAAATAATTGTAAAAGCCTCTAGGTAATGGTAAATTGCGTTCCTGGTTGCAGATTGCCGTAAAAACACATTTGTTTCTATAGGATTCACTTTGTAGAATTTTTATGTGGGATTCACGACGGAGACGACGGTCTATTCAACGCTCCATCGCCTCAAGCCCGGTTCGCCACGCAGTTCATCGCAGAGCCACCTTAGCACGTCTTTCGAGAGGCGATAGTGTTGTTGAAAATGAACGTCGTCCATGTCCAACACATTGGCGTGGTTTAAATACCTATGCCGACGGCAAAACACGAACGAAAACGCTGCCATTTTGGACGCTTCTCCCTGATCTCGCGCCCAACTCGCCCAAACTCGCCTAGGTCGGAGCCGGCAAGCTTCTCCCATCCGCGGCGGCTTCTGCCACGTCACAATGACGTCACCGCATCTCGCCGCGAGTTCCGAATAGGCAACTCTCCGACCGCCTCAAACCCTCCGTTTAACGTCACGATCTAGGGAGTGTCGGCGCGTGTCGTCATGCACGGCGCCGACCAATCGCGGCGGTCGGCGAGTTTGGCGGAGAACTCGCCTCGATCTCGCCGCGCCGAGCTTAGCCCCCCTGGGCCGGTTTGCTCATCTTGCGGCTGCGGACGCGGCCGCGGCCAGGAGGGATTTTTACGTCACGTGACCAGCTCCATGGGGACAAGGAAGTACCTAGCGTCCCTGCCTAATGGCGGAGAGATCCGCATCGCTTCAAGCACAAAAGCCTAATTTCGCTCGCAGAAACTGATTGGAGGGACTTTCAACTGGAATCTAATTGACCGCCCCTTTATACTGTAGGAGCGGCAGGTAAAGTTACGGCCAGGGAGGGCAAATGGGAGCCAAAATAAAGAAAAAACCACACGAGATAAAAGCGGTAGCAGTATTTTTATATACCTCCGCCGGCGCCGCGCCTCGCGCCTTCTGTTGTGGTCGAGGAGAAAGAAGAAGACGCCGTTTCGAACGGCCACGTTTTCCATGTTCTCCGGGGAAAATTTATCGGCCGCTGGCCGAGGAAACGTTATGACGTCTGATAACGTTACAGAAGACTACCGGATAATCCTGCCACGTCTGACATCAGGTAACCTGAGCCTGAATTCCGTTTTCTTGCATGGGGACCTCTCGGCGCGCCCGTATCGAGCTCCTGATTTTCGAGACGCCCTACGTGGCATCGTCGAATTGAAGGACGTTGTGAGCCTCGGACAGTTCCAGATGTCTCACGTCTGGATGCTGACGTGTGTCAACGCTGTTACCAAGGCAAAGCTCGTCGCTCAACGAGAGCTCCGCGTGAAAGGCCGAAAGTGCCTCATCATTGACCCGGACAAGCAAGAAGTAAACCTAAAGCTTCTTTGGCTTCCACAGCATCTAGAGGATCGACGAGTTATCGAAGCTCTCGCCCCGTTTGGCAAAGTGCGATCGATCAAGAGAGAAAAATGGAGGTGTAGCGAGCTTGAGCACATGGAGACTCTAAATCGAGAGGTAGTACTGGTATTAGGGGATGGTGTCAATGCCAGTCAGATACCACATCTCCTTCAAGTCTACGGATGCCAGAGCCTCGTCCTTATTCCTGGCCGACCTCCGCTGTGCTTGCGCTGCAACAAAGTGGGACATATTCGACGCTACTGTAGAACACCGAGGTGCTCCAACTGCCGGCGGTATGGTCACCAAACCGAGGAGTGTGTCAACGGCGCCACCTATGCGGACATGTTACGACAACGTCAAACACACGAAGATGACACAGCGGCGGAGCTCCTAATGGACGTCAGTGAGGTAGCTGACGTCACCGGGGAATTGCCACCCGTTGAATCGGCCCATCCTTCACGAGACGCACGGCCCGGGGACAGTACAGACACCCAGCCATCACAAAACATCGACAAGAATGAAGAATTTCCAGTGTTGGAACCTGCAGCATCCCCAAACACCAGCACCACACAGAATGCGCACGTGGAACCTGATGCGACTCCCGTACCGACTGTCTCCAAGGCTCCGACTACACCTCAGCACACAGTTAGCGAGGACGGCCCTTCCTCGAGCAGCAGCCAACCACTCAAACGACCGGCACCGGTTGACACAGAGGCACCTTCGTGTTCAAGCGGGTCCTCAACACTACTCAACCGTGTTGGCGACGGAGACGTCGCCAAAAAGAAGGCATCGGGGTCCCGTGCCAAGCCGAACGCGAAGCCAGGAGCTACCTAAAGTGTGGCGAGTGTCGTTCAACGCTGAAATGCGGCCTCTATGAGGACGGATAGAAGCTAAGACTATTCCCCTAAATTTCACAACACTAAACGTCCGAGGTCTAAGATCTCGTGCGAGGCAGGTGCAACTTTGTCGGCTCTTGCAACGTGAGCGGCTGGACATTGTTGCGATTCAGGAGACAAAGATAGAGTCGGAGGAGGCCACAACAAGTGCGCTCCAGCCTTTTCTACACAGGTATGAAGTTTGTGTGAGTCACGCTGTGGGGCTATCGGCTGGTTGTTTCTTGTTTCTCCGCAAAGACTTGAACTACACCTCGCTCTCGTACACGGTTGACACTGAAGGTCGTTTTATCTGTTGTGACATTTACTTAGAGGGAATTCACTGGCGGCTGATTTGCGTTTATGCCTATAATGACTCTTCTAGTCGACTTTCACTTTTCCAAAATTTAGATGCTTTTATTGACACCGACAAATGTATTGTCCTATTTGGCGACTTTAACTGTGTATGCGAAGCCCACGACCGCTCGACGATCAGTCTGAGACGCGACAACAGCAGTATCGCTCTCGAGAATCTTGTGCGCCAACACTGCCTAAGTGACGTCGGTGCTTCTCGAACGTCCATCAATCGCTTCACGCACCTGCAAAGTTCTGGCCACGCACGCCTTGATAGAATATACGTGTCTAGTTGTCTTTTGGAACACACGTTTGAATATTTGGTAACGCCGGTATCCTTCTCCGGCCATTGTGTTGTAACCGTGAGGCTAGGCGAGAAACGCAAACAAATATCTAGGCCAAAATGGGCGCTGTGGAAGTTAAACAGCAATATCCTTAAAAACAATGACTTTAATGAGAGACTAATTACCTGTTTTATGGCTATTCGTAGTAATACCGATCTTTCCATTTTTGCACAGTGGGATAGTTTTAAGCAAGAAGCTAAAAACATCGCAATTGAGTGTGCGTGTATTCAGGCATATCATGAGAAAGCTGACAGGCGTGCACTTACACATAGCCTTCACGAACTGTATGAGCTGGAATGCGAAAAACCAGGTAGTTTTCATGAGGAAATTTGCTTTCTCAAATCTGAGCTCCAACGCCACGAGCTTCAGCGTTACCGAGGAGCGGCTGTGCGATCAAGATGTCAACGCCTTGTGTCGGCCGAACAACCTACTAAAAAGACTTTAGATGACGAGCGCAGGCACGCCTTAGCTAAAGAAATTCCGGAGTTGCTATGTAATGGCGCTTACTCAAGAAATACCGAAAACATTATGAACACATTCACACAACACTATCAAAACTTATTTGGTCAGGTCTCCCCCTCATCAAATGAAGAGTATGCGCCTCTCGTTTCACTGCTGCCCAGCTTGAGTGACGAGGACTCCGAACTATTTACTAGACCGTTTTTTCTCAAAGAGATATGCCAGGCCGTGGGGTCTCTTCCTAGCTCGAAGGCACCTGGACCAGATGGCCTCTCAGCAGAATTTTATAAGCAACACATAGACATGATATGCCCATTCCTCCTTGAACTTTTCACAGCTTCACTTCAGTATGGCAGGTTACCTCCATCGTTTTATCAAAGTCACACCGTGTTAATACCAAAAAGCTCCGATCCCGACAAGTTAAGGACTTTTGAAGGGTATCGCCCAATAGCGCTCTGCAATGTCGATTACAAAATATTTGCCAAAATTCTTACTAAACGTTTACAATGTGCCATTTCAAGAGTGGTTGGTGCTCATCAAACATGCGGGATTAAAGGCCGCACAATCCAGACAAACATTCACGTAGCGCGATCAGTTCTTCATTGCTGTGACAGTTTACAAGATCAAGTAGCCATGCTTCAAATTGACCTAGCGAAAGCTTTCGATCGCGTAAGCCATTTCTTTTTGTTTGCTCTTTTAGAACACATAAACGTAGGAAAGGTCCTCCTTAACGGTATCAAAATATGTTATTCCGAAGCAACAACTCGAATAATAGTTAACGGAGCTCTTTCCAAACCAATCCTTCATTCATCTGTAAAGCAAGGATGTCCCTTGTCTCCCCTTCTGTTTGCATTATATTTGGAGCCTCTGTGTTTAAGTATACTGAAAAGTACAGTCGTAAAAGGTTATAAATTGTTATCTCGTGAAGTGAAAGTTCTGGCTTATGCCGATGATGTAGCTTTTTTCTGTGTTGATAAGCCAAGTAGCGACGCTGCATTACAATTAACCCAGCAATTTTGTAAGGCAGCTGGAGCGCTGGTTAACACCTCCAAGTGCTGTGGACTTTGGTATGGGACTTGGGGGACAACGCCCTCGGATTATGCAGGAATGGCGTGGTCTGGCGTGCCAACTACTTACCTTGGCGCGCCACTAGAATGTGTTCGAAATAGCTCGCGCTACTGGACAGAAAGTGTCAAAAATCTTAAGCGCAGAGCGGACATGCTGAAGCCTAATCATCTTTCTGTGTTTGGCCGCGCTACTGCATGTAACATCTTCCTAGTCGCAAAACTGTGGTACGTGCTTCAGGTTATTCACTGTGCCCGAGGACACCTTCAGCGTTTCCATAGGATATTTGCGACCTTTATATGGGACTCTTCATGGGAGCCAATGCGGCGCGACAATCTGTTTCGGTCTATCGAAGCGGGAGGACTAGGCTTAACCCACTTATTTGTACGGAAAATTGTTTCACGTTTCATGTTCCTCAGAACGTCTTCCCACCCGTTCATTAGGACCTTTCTCCAAACTCACTTGATGGATCTAATCCCTGACCTCGTTGTTTCATCCGACCATGTGGCAATGCCGCGACCTTTTGGCTTTCTCAAAGAAGTCGTCGAAGCTTTTGAGTTTTTGAAAGTGCGTTTTTCTTTGGATTATTTATTCACCGTTTCCAGAAAAGAGCTCTACCATAACCTAATAGATTCGCTATTTCCAGACCCTTTATATCGCAGCCACTATCCAAACAGTACAGATCAAGATGTTTTAAAACGAGTTCGCAGGATGCGCGTTCCCCCGACTGCAAAAACATTTTTCTTTAAGCTTCATACTAACACACTACCCGTAAAACCATGGCTACGTGACAAAGGAATTTTTGTACCGTGGTCGGTCAACTGTCGTTTATGCAACACGCCAGAGACTATTGAGCATTGCTTTATTTTTTGCACAGATGCATACCTTTTCTGGGATGTGCTTCAAAGGACTATCAAAAAGGACTTGTATATTAACGCATACTCTATTCGTTTTCTTCCTGTGGAAGATCCAGACACATTTCCCGCAGATTTTTTTATGTTGCTTGGTATGCATAGTCTCTGGAAGACTCGCATGATAGACAGAAATGCTGATCCACCAAGGACTACCAAATCGAATTTTATCGAAACATGCAATCACGTAATAAGTGTCCTTGATGAACTCGGGGAAAAGCCAAGATGGTACTGGCGACTCGAAAAGTGCCTTACGTTTCCTGATTTCTGATACAGCCGATTCAGTCCTGCGCACCCGAAGAGCTGTGCAAATTTGTCTGAATTGTAAAAGTGTTGGTGAAAATGTATCTGAATAAGCTTGTATAATCTCAGTGCATTCTCGTTTCATAACTGCAACTATGACCCATGTGCCCACCCGTCTGTGCTTCCATGCAATAAAGAAAAAAAAATAAATTCTGTTGTGGTCGAGAGGTTAAAGCGCCGGTACTTGTCGTCGCGGCGTGAAAGTTCCGGGTTCAAATCGCGCTAGGGACTTCTTTTTTTTTTGTGTATTTTGCGCGTGTCTTTCTTTTGAACTGTGATCCTTTTTTGGAAATCATCCACTTGCACTACTGCGCCTTACACGCTTTTACTGTTAGTCCCACCTGTTCAATCGAAACACCGGGAAGAAGAAAAAAAGATCAATGCAAGTTAACGCGCTAATGCAATCATTTCGTAATGTTCATTAAAAGGAAACCAAGCTAACAGCATCAGTATGGCTTTCACACAAGCGGAGCTGAAACAAGCATCCTTTCCCCAGCGTTTACAATTTTATCTGTTTTCAAATAACGCTCTTGCTACGATTCCTTTCAATAACAAGAGACGCCTATTTAGGACTAATAAAAACGGCAGTTGTAGCAATTAAAAAAATAAATAAAATAAAACAAGCAAAAAAAAAAAAAAGACTAGCAGCTGTGGATACACTGATTGAGCGAAATCCTACAGGCAAGGCAGCAGGTCAAACGTCTGAGAAAGGAGTAAAATTGAACTAAAAGAGATCATACTTTTCCTTGCATGGAATGAGATAAAAAGTATATTTATACTCTTTACAATTTGTTGTGGCAATCGTTTTGTAATATTAACACATTACTTGTTGAATTTTAGTTAGACTAGCTGACGATCACGACCAAATGCAAAAATGAATCAGGCATCGACCATCGCAAACCCTCTCTCTAATGCAAACACCTAAAATGACTTTGGATCAAGACATGGAATTAATTATAATTAATTCCATTTCTTGATCCAAAGTTCAAGAATTAATTCCAAGAAATGGAATTAATTATAATTAATTCCATTTCTTGATCCAAAGTCAGTTTAGGTGTTTGCATGAGAGAGAGGGTTTGCGATGGTCGATGCCTGATTCATTTTTGCATTTGGTCGTGATCGTCTGCTAGTCTAACTAAAATTCAACAAGTAATGCGTTAATATTACAAAACGATTGCCACAACAAAATGTAAAGAGTATAAATATACTTTTTATCTCATTCCATGCAAGGAAAAGTATGATCTCTTTTAGTTCAGTTTTACCCCTTTCTCAGACGTTTGACCTGCTGCCTTGACTGTAGGATTTCGCTCAATCAATGTATAAACAGCTGCTAGTCTTTTTTTTTTTTTTTGCTTGTTTTTTTTTTTTTTTAATTGCTACAAGTGCAGTTTTTATTAGTCCTAAATAGGCGTCTCTTGTTATTGAAAGGAATCGCAGCAAGAGCGTTATTTGAAAACAGATAAAATTGTAAACGCTGGGGAAAGGATGCTTGTTTCGGCTCCGCTTGTGTGAAAGCCATACTGATGCTGTTAGCTTGGTTTCCTTTTAACAAACATTACGAAATGATTGCATTAGCGCGTTAACTTGCGTTGATCTTTTTTTTCTTCTTCCCGGTGTTTCGATTGAACAGGTGGGACTAACAGTAAAAGCGTGTAAGGCGCAGTAGTGCAAGTGGACGATTTCCAAAAAAGGATCACAGTTCAAAAATAAGACACGCGCAAAATACACACAAAAAAAAAAAAAAAGAAGTCTCTAGTCCGATTTGAACCCGGAACTTTCACGCCGCGACGACAAGTACCGGCGCTTTAACCTCTCGACCACAACAGAAGGCGCGAGGCGCGGCGCCGGCGGAGGTATATAAAAATACCGCTACCGCTTTTATCTCGTGTGGTTTTTTTCTTTATTTTGGCTCCTATTTGCCCTCCCTGGCCGTAACTTTACCTGCCGCTCCTACAGTATAAAGGGGCGGTCAATTAGATTCCAGTTGTAAGTCCCTCCAATCAGTTTCTGCGAGCGAAATTAGGCTTTTGTGCTTGAAGCGATGCGGATCTCTCCGCCATTAGGCAGGGACGCTAGGTACTTCCTTGTCCCCATGGAGCTGGTCACGTGACGTAAAAAACCCTCCTGGCCGCGGCCGCGTCCGCAGCCGCAAGATGAGCAAACCGGCCCTGGTGACACGCTTTAGGTGCCGCGGAGGTATCACAGTGAAAAGGTACAGAGCTTTCGAAGGGTAGGAGGTACGGAATAGTCCGCTGTTTTCAAATTTTCCCACTGAAAGTCAGGCTTGTGACTTTCTACCTTTTTTCTTTTGGCCTACTAAACGATACGCAATTAGTAAAATCCCAATCGAAAGTCATTCATCCCAGCCCAAATTTGTTTTATGGGCACTCTAACTTCCTCAAAAACTTTTTTTTTTAAAGATTTTTAGTCTTTGAATATTAATGCAATAGCATTCTTTAGCCCCCCCCCCCCCCCTCCCCTACTCCTCCTATTTCGTTTACCTTTTTGGCGTCCTGATGCGCAGTATGTTTTAGTTTCCCCGCTAAGTTTGGCGGGAAACTTGATGTCACATAACCCGACTTTACGGGACCTACGGACACATTCAAGTTCCCGTTTAATTTAGCGGGAAAATTGATGTCACGTGACCTATGCGCCAATTCAGTTTTCCAGCTAAATTAGGTGGGAAAACAAGTCACGATTTTAAAATCATTTATTCATCAAGAACGCATCAACGCTAAATCAGCGCAACGTTGATTTAGCGTATATGTCCTCGACATCGTCTTTGACGTAGTCCTTAAGGTCGTCCTAAAGGTTGTCTTAGAGGTCGTTCTTGAGACCCCCTTAGTTGTCCTGCAGGTTGTCTTTGACTTTGTACTCAAGGAGTCGCGCTCGACGTCGTCCTAGATGCCCTTGAAGTTGTCCTAGACGTCGATCTTAACCTTGCCCTCAAGGACGTCGTCCTCGACGTCGACCTTGGCCTCGTAACAAAATAAAGGTAAATATGATGAATGTTATCGCATTTCATAGACAACCAACAATAGTGGTTTCTGCAAGCTATTTTTTTTAGATACAATAGTCGACTATAAAAAAAAAACGGTAATCTATAAAAATCATATTTTGGTTCTATGTCCTTCATTTGAGCCGCATTCTTGCGAAATGTCTGTTCCTTTTGATAAACAACAAGCATCATTACCGTCCTCGTGCGTCTATGGTTTCGAAAAGACATTTTTATTTTTGTCTTTTTTGAGACACGAGTATAAAGTAGACGACTTACGAGCGATTTGACGTCGCGGCGTCAGTTGTAGTAATGTTTCCATGGCGAGTAAAACATTTCCGTTTCTTGACCAGTCGATCATCAATCCTTTTCCGGGTAGTGACCTTTTTCTTGCGGAGAATACATTAAAAAATACGATTTGTTTAAAGATTTCAGCGAAAGCTTCAACTTTGTTTTAATCGTCAGAAGGTGGCTCATGCTGTAATCCCAGCGCCGAACCGAGCGGGCTAAGGAAGGGCCAGGGCTTAAAACGGGGCGAAGCCAGGTACTCGCGCAGACCAGGAAGTCCTGCCACGCGCTCGCTGTATTGCACTAACGAAGGGAAATTCTTCTTGAAGTTGCTGGGCTCCACGGCGCGGACGAAGGCCAGGGCCTCGAAGAGCAGGAAATCCACGTAAGTTACCTCCTCGCCAATAGCGAAGGGACCGTTCTTCGCGAGCAGTGCTTCGAACTGCCGGAGCTTTTCGGCAGAGTCTACGAGGAACTGACGCAGCTTGTCGTCCGAATATCCGGAGTCGTAGCAAAGCCGGGCGACGGACCTTATGAGGTCGAGGGCCTGCATCTCGACAACGTCCACTTGGCTCTGCAGCTCGTCGCTCTTGGGTGCGAGGCCATGCTTGCGACCCAGGTACCTCAGGATGGCCAAGCTCTGGGTGAGCTTGACGTCGCCGTCCAGGTAGTACGGGAGGTTGGGGAAGTCCAGGCCTAGGTTTGGCTTGTCCGCGAGCCACTCTTCTCTTGTCCAGTTGGGGTCGCTGCCGTAGCCATACCTGCGTGTCCGGATAAGACAGGAAGAAAAGAAAGACACGAAATTGACATCTCAAGATTGCAGCAGAAGAAGACGATATTCGAAAGACCCATAACAACCAAGACATAAATACTTAAGAAAGAATTCAACGTAGAACATAACAATACAGCACATCTTTTTATAAATTCTTTCCTAAGTTTTTGCACTTTCCCAACGCGCTCACGTCAATAAAATTACATTAATATATGTTTTAGATAGTGGAGCTTGGCAGCTTCTGCGAATTATTTATTGCAAACACTGCCGTGAAGTGACAACATGACAATCTTACATAGGTTTGCTTGTTAAAGGCCGACTACCAGACTGGAGATTCTGCAAGGCAGAAGATCCTCCTCACCATGGGGGAGGAGGAAACAGGCAGTGGTGGGCAGGGTAGAAAGGGAAGAGGAGGAAATGGGAGAAAAGTGGAAAGCGCGAAGTGTACGTCGGCCTTTAAGAAAAAAAAAAAAAAGGCAAACTGAGGCGTAGTTTTTGGAATTAAAAATCGGAAACTGGTTCAGACAGACATAAAATACGCGTATGTGGTCTTTGGTATTGTATTATACAGTGATTTCATGCAGATAGCTGGTAAACACGCGAAATACGGTAAGAATACGAAATTAAGCTTTAATAGACCTTATCATGTACGACCTTGTCTAAATGAAAGTTCTGCACGTGACACTGCCCGACGACAAACTCGTTCTACTAAGGGTAACCAAAAGCATATCAAGTTCCTGAAAAATAATGGCCTGTTTGCTTTTAAAGTTTTGCTCATAACTTTAAATAGTTGAAGATTTGTCTAGATAGATATGTGTCAATAATACCTTAGCAAAGGTAAATAAAACCTTAAATATTCGTAAAATTATTGCATCGCCCAGTCGGAAGGGGGAGCCAGTGAGACATGAAACAGCTTCTAATGACAGCGAGATGACATTTATTTACTATAAAGGGTTTTTTTCTGTATTGGTCTTTGCTTATTTGAATCTCGCTTCTTGAGAATGGGCAGAGCTTACCAGCTATGGTTGGCTCGCGTTGTGTCTATAATTAGAATATATTTATCTTTTGAGAAAATCGGTCAGCAAAAATTAATACCTTACACGAGGTATGCTAATAAATGTAAAAATATTTGTGGTAAGTGCCCTTGATCAACACTAGCTGCCTTGGCAAATGACTTTCAGAGTTGTTGGTGTTTATAAATTTAGCATCATAGTACTTTCTCAACTACCCCCACAACTGAAATCTTAAAAAAAATAGTGCGGGTTTCGACTATATCTATTGAAACTTATAGCCTGTAGAAAAAGTTCATGATATTATATCAGGGTAACGCAGACCAGATAGACTAGATTTGACCGGACACGTAGGAACCCCTTTATAAGCAGCGAAAAGCCCCTATAGTCACTGACAGTATGTGAACGGCAGGGCGTGCCGTTTGAACTCTTTGCCTCCAGCAAGTGCTCCATGCCTTCCGCCGTGCTACACTCGAGCTGCAGGACGGCGGAAGCCTCGCTCAAAGTGAACAAGACGCCGAAGAGCTGTCGAAGGGCGGAAGCTCGGGTTGAGGCGGAAATACTGAAGCTCCTCTTTGCCGCTCTCACCTTGCCAGTGACTATAATGAACATCGCTAAAAACCTCTTGATGTAAATGAAATTGAATGAATAGGGGCCGAACCTTCATTTCCTCAATCTTCCTGGCAACAATGTGATATTTAGACTGCCCGAAGTTTATTAGGCGATTAAATGAGACGACGAGTGTCCCGGATGTGCTGGAATATTTGCTAGTGCAGAGTGACGTGTGACAATAGATCAGTAATTGTGACCGCCAGCCCGGGGTGGTCATCAACATGCATCACGAAGTAGTGATCACACGAACGCACTGTTTAACGATACTCATTCAGTTCGGAACGGCCAGGGACAGGCAGGTGGTTGAGGCTCAGAAAAACCTTGAAGCGATCTGGCAAACTGCCTCCCTACCTCCTTGGACGCTAGTAATCCGATCGAACGCCGCCCGAGTGACGCTGGCATATAGCATGTTTAGTTTGTACATGATGCAAAATCATGAGACTGGGAATAAAATTTGTAAAAAAAAAATGTAAAAAAAAAAAAAAAAGGGGACAGTACAACGTTTAAATCTCAGCTCTGGGGATGAAATTTGAAAGAAAAAGTGTAAGAAGGCAAAAAAAGGGGACAGGACAACGTCTCAAACTCAGCTCAGGACAACGTCTCAAATTCAACTCAGCTGAAAACTCAGCTCAGGACAACGTCTCAAACTCAACTCAGCTGAGTTTGAGACGTTGTCCTGTCACCTTTTTTCTTCCTTCTTGCACTATTTCTTGCGAATTTCATTCCCAGTCTCGGGATTTTGCATCATGATCAACATTCACCAGCTCGCCTGCACCTTCACAATTTTTTAGTTTGTAATTGCTTTGGAGGTTTATTTTTCGGGACAGAAGAAATTCCGAGCAAAAAGCACAGAAACTGACACAACTTGAGGTCGAGGAGCGTTCTACCATACCAGTGGCGTCCGGAAAGGAAAAAGGGGGGGGGGGGGGTGCTCCAGTCTCTCTCACCCCCCCCCCCCCCCAGATATTGCGGTCAGTTAAAGAAAACAATAGGGGGAAAGACGGCATGGTCAAGCTTGTTTTAATCTGAAATTACTTAGAGATATGTATAGCTACTGTCGCTCTTCACTGCATAAAAGATCGCGTAGATGGTCATTGTTAGAAACTCGTTGTCAGAAGGCACTACTCGTCACATGCTCGGTGGTTCGGAAGTTCAAAGCTATGTCTCTTTGACCGAAATAACTGTGCTATTTACAAAAATATTAATAAATAAATAACCATAAAAATAAATGCAAAAATACAAAGCTGGGGAGAAAATATAACTATCAAGAACCCACCGGAAGTGTTGTATTCTTGCATGTACAGAGGCCCAGAACTGCGAAACAAGTTTCTCCTACCAAAATGTGTACAGGCTAAAAGAATCACGCCCCAGAAACGTTAAATAAATAAATAAATAAATAAATATATATATATATATATATATATATATATATATATATATGGTGTTTTTTTTTATTCTTACACATTTGTTAAAAAAAAAAAAAAACGTGAAAGCTACACTAATGCGGTTTCTGCAGGTGGGGTATACGGCCAGCGGACATTATATGGGTGGCTAATCTTTGCGATAAGTCGGCTAATTGATTAAAATTCGTCAGATAACTTTTTAATTACTGAAAATAAACATATAGTTTCAATTAGAAACTTGCTGACCCTTACAAAAATCTGTAGTTAAATTCTTTTGAATTTTTGTTGAAAATATTCTGGAGTCCTATTGAATTTCTCTTTAAAACTTTTTGATGTTTTTTAGACTTTGTTTTGACAACTTATTTAACTCCTAGTCAAAATTGGCCACTTAAATTTTTTAGAATTCCTTCTTACATACATTCTTTTGAATTCCTTCTTACATAAATTTTGTTGAATTCCTTTTGACAAAACCGCAGATTAACGTTTAAAAAAACACTAAATTCTTAATATATTTTTTTAATTTCGTTAGGAAATAGTGTCTTTTTGATACATACACATCCCACAAATAAGCAATGTAAACAAACACACCATCAAGCACTCAACACCAGAAACACAGTCCTGTTGACAGCACCAGAGCCGTATATAGCCTACATATTGAAGGTAATCATTTGGCCGATGACCACCTCAGCACTTACTAAGTTGCCAAGTCTCCGGTCTCCTTCTCGAAAGTCTGTCAAAGGAAAGACACTGTTTCGAAGTTCGTGGACTCTATCTCTTACTAAAAAGCATCGGTACAACTAATAATAATTTCGTGTAGTCGCTAAAACAACATCCACGAAAACGACTCATAGAGCAAATGTTTATCGCTTCTCTGCATAGCACCACTCGGGACGAAGCCAGTCAAGGCGGTTGCTCCACTTTAAAATAGTCATTTTGCTCTTCTTTACTAGTTGAATAGGGTCAATAATGCAACGATTGTCATTTACAAAGTGAGAACGGCTGGGCGTGTTTTTCGAACGCCTGGCCTCCAGCACGCGCCCCATGCCTTCCGTCGTGCTTTGACTGCGCAGTCGAGCTCGAAGGGCGCGAGACGTCGAAGAGTTGTCAAGGATAGAAGGCTCGCGCTGGAGGCAGGAGAACGGAAGCTCCTCCCTATGGTTCTCAACTTGTCAGAGACTATTGAGAAACTTAGTGACTTTTGACATTTAGTCAAGATGTATTATGTTCAATAAAAAGTCAACAGAAAGTCTGTAGCTTTTCTTTTGACACTGGCTACAGAAAGTCAACTGAATAATTTAAACACGAAGTAAATAGAACGTCTGCAGTATTTCTGATAACACTTTCAACAGGAAGTCAACAGAAAAAAGATCCAACGTAGAGTTAATAGAAAGTCAATAGAAAATCATAAAAAAAGTTTCAACACAAAATCATAAAAAAAGTTTCAACACAAAATCAACAAACTTTTTGTTGACCATGTCAACAGGAAGTCAGTCGAAATAAAGTAATCAAAGTGAACAAGAAGTCAACACATTTTCAATAAAAAGTAAAAAAGAAACATCCGTCATATCGGACCCCGCACACGACCGCAGCAAATAAAATGAATTAAAAAATGTCTCTTTTTATAAAATATTATAAAGAAATAATGTCAATAGGTTTTCTTTTTATTTTTTAAAAAATAACCTACAAAAAACGTTGTTACAACTTCTTTTTATTTTTTTATAAGTAAGTCTACAAAACAAAATCTGTTGTTTTTCCTTTTGAATTTTTTTAGAAAATAATCTACAGAAAAACGTCTTTACAAGTTCTTTTTAATTTTTTTATAAATAAGTCTACAAAACAAAATCTACTGTTCTTCCTTTTGAATTTTTTAAAAAAATATCCTATAGAAAAACGTCTTAACAAGTTCTTTTTAATTTTTTTTATAAAGAAGTCTACAAAAAATTTAATATTTTTTTCTTTTGAAAGTTTTTTGACAATAGTCAAAACAAAGTGCGTTTAAAAAGGAATTCAGTAGGATCGCGGAAAGTCAATAAGGAGTCTAAAAAAATTAAAAAGAATGTTGAGACCCGTTTTTGTAAGGGGAGCATCATCGAAAACCCCTAAATCAACTATTTTTGGAAGGATATAACGCCGGGGCAGCATTTTACGGCGTTCTGTAAAAAGGCCCTATTTGGACGCCGAGAAGCGACTTGCATGTGACCTCCTATTTGTAGCCGCTGCGGAGATTTACGTGAGAGCAACACCGAGTGTTCGGTGCAAGAAAAGTGTGTCAACTGTGGACAACCTTACGCTGCCACTTCTTCATCCTCCCCCAAATGGAAGAAAGAAAGCGAGACTCGCAACTACGCACGTCAACATGCCGTTGATTTTCGTGCTGCAAGGACAGCTGTCCAACAGTATAAGACAGCCAACGCAAATCAACATGGCCAGCCCCTTCCAAGCCCACCGAAAAGAAGGAATGATCCCATCAAGTAGCCTAATGTCAGTGCTGTGTCAGTGCTGCAGCACTTCAGCGAAAAGGCAAAACGACGAAGGGAGCATCTCAATTGAACAACCACCACACCTGCACTGTGGAATCGAAAGCCAACACTGTCGGACCAGCATTGAATGTGACGCCTGCACTGAAGCCGCAGCCTCCTCCCAGCTCGAGTGCTGAACATACAGCTAAATCTGCATGGGAAAACTGGATTCCACTTCTTCAGAAGGCAACCCGCATGGCTTACGCTTTTCTATCTACTGTGGATGCGCAGTGGGCACGACTTCTCCTCTCATTCCTTAACATGATTCTTCCTCTTATGGAGTCATAGTAAAGGGAGGGAAAGCGAACAGGCCGTGTCAACGAAACCGGAACCCCAAATTCCCATCGATTCTCTAATGGAACGTGAACGGCCTTCGTACACGCATTTCGGAACTTCGGCAAATTCTACAGCAGAGAACCATAGATGTAGTTGCACTTCAAGAAACCAACATCCTACACGGTGAGGTACGACTCTCTGCATATGTTTTCTACAATTCTACCACAATTGACTCAAAGACTAAGTCTCGAGTTTCACTTTTGGTGAGATCAAGCCTCCATTAAAGCGCCCTGGACCTTTCAGATCTCTGCTCATTAACGGCAGAGTATGCGGGAGTCACAGTAAGGCTCGGCACGCAAGACACCACAATAGTTTCCATTTACGTAGCCCCTGGGGGCACATGGGACCCTGATGTGTTGCACCAAATTCAAAAGTGAACTTTTATTAGCTGGAGATTTCAACGCACACAGCATCAACTGGGTGATAGCCGAACCAACAGAAGGGGAAGACGCCTGGAAGACACCATTGCGGCCCTGAACCTCACAACTCTAAACAGCGGAGCACCCACATTTATTTGTAAAGCGTCCTTGATCTCACATTTGCATCGCCTGCGATCAAAGTGTCGTGGGCAATACAACCAGACACATGGGGTAGCGACCATGTTCCCATCATTATAGCCTCGCCGAACGCAAGTGCAGTCGCCACCAGAACATGCAAAGTAGTCAACTGGGACCTTTACCGTGAATATATGGCAGCATCGGTAACTGCGGCTGACGCTACAGACCTACCTGCCATCATTGAAAACTGCATTCGACGAGCGACCCGACTAGTGAAGGTTCCCATCACACGACCTGTCCCGGGCCTAGAGTTTCTCAACCTCCGAGCGGCACGGAGACAAGCCCAACGACGGGCTATGCACACAGATACAGAATACGACTGGGCACGTTACAAAAAATAGATGCGGCGTTCAGGAGGCACACGAAAAAATTGCAGCGCTATCAGTGGGCTCAAAAATGTATTTCCTTCGGGAATCCGAGGGGAGCCGCGCAAGCTTGGCGGTTAGTTGGCGCCTTGGCAGCTGCGAAGGTCCCTCGTCACCCAATTGCAGCACTCGCCATCAGGAACGACAAAACCATGACTGAAACGCCAGAACTGCCAGCTGATGAATTTGCGTGCCCCCTTCCTCCACCAGCCGTGGCTTTACCCCAAGAGCTGATAGGCACTTCTATTTCTGAAGCATCCATGGCGGATGACGACTTCACCATATTTGAACTGCAGTATGTGCTCCGACACTGCAAACGCCGAAGTGCACCCGGGCCAGATGGAATCACTTATCAAGCATTGAAAAACATAGACCAAGCTTATCATCCACAACTTTTAGAGACACTCAACTCAATATGGAGAACAGGCATTCTGCCTATGACCTGGCTAGAATCAATCGTAATTCCGGTTTTGAAATGCGGTAAGCCGAGCCACTCCTCCTCATCCTATAGACCTGTGTCCCTGACAAGCTGCTTGAGAAAGCTACTTGAGCGCCTGGTCTTGAGACGCCTGACATGGCACCTGGAGCAATAACATGCGATGCCACACCAGCTCTCAGGATTTCGTGCGAAGAGGTGTACAGCAGACGCAATGGGAGACTTGGCTTCTGCACTCGAAGAGGCAAAAGCACGCCGCAACATGCTTCACTGTGTGTTCTTAGACATAAAGCGTGCATTTGATGCACTTCCGCATAATGTTATCCTCCAGCGCCTCAGACATCTCGGAGAAAGAGGGAAAATGCTTTAATATATTAACGCATTTCTCTCTGGTAGAACGATTTGGGTCAGGGTCCCGGGGGCGATTAGCAGTCCACGCACTGTGACTCAGGGCTTTCTTCAGGGAAGTGTTCCTTTACTGTTCAATGTGGCCATGGCAACGCTTCCAAGCTCACTTCGCCAGCAGGGACCGTTCCTTGTACAGATATTCATCTATGCGGATGACGTGGCTCTTTGGTGCGCTGGCCCAACTCGAAGGGCAAGGAAGATTCGTTGTCAACTCTAAGGGGCACTCGATACAATCTGCATTGCCATCGAAAAACTCGGACTGACACTTTCCCTTGAGAAAACAGCAGCGCTGCTTTACCGTCCGAGAGGACGCCCCCCCCCCCCCCCCCCCCCCCCCCCCCCCCCCCGAACGAGCGCTGCAACTCAAGATGGCTGGGATGCCAGTCAAGAGAGTGAGGACATATAGATATCTTGGATTGTTGTTGGATGATCGGGTAACCTGGAGACCGGAAGTCCGCAAAGTTCTCTCCATGTGCCGCAACCTTCTCAGAGTTCCGCGGTGCCTCCGCGGCCATGCCTGGGGAACACCACTGCACGCCCTCCTTCAGTTATATAAAGGTTTAATCCTTTCCCGCCTACAATAAACGTGGCCACTTCTCAAAATCGGATTAGCACAACAACGTGATGTTGAAACATTTCACCGTGTGGCACTAAGAATGTGCGTCGGACTGCCGCGATACGCGGGAAACGTTGCCACACTCGTTGCTGCCGAAGAATGGCCTGTTTTTCTCCGGGTTGACGAGCGCGCCTGCCGTCACCTTGCAAGAATTCATGGTGTGTCCTCTGGGAGTTCACTACTCTCACACGTCGTTGACCGCCCCAACTCCTGCTTTGGCTATTTGGCTAGACAGTTCGAAGATCTTATAGGACCACCCGGACATATCCCTTCACCCCCGCAGCCTCATCTACAAGTACCACTGACGATAAGTGAAACTCTCCCTTACATGCATAGCAAGGCGAGTGTTTCTGGGACAATTTATCGCCTTTTGACCCAGGAATTACTCTACACAGAGTATATCGGATGGCTGCAAGTATACACCGACGGCTCCACTAGTCCTGCGACAGGAACTACCACGACAGCAGTCTTCATCCCAACTCACAACGTCTGCATTGCAGACGGACTAAACTTCGCCACAACCTCTACTACTGCGGAGCTGGTGGCCATTTGGCGGGCTTTGGAGCTCCTAGTGCGAAGTGGAACACCAGGGAGAGCAGTCATCCTCACAGATTCGAAATCTGCTCTTCATCTTCTCCGGAACCCCGAGACTGGCACTCCATTGACTGCATCAAATGTAGCATCTGCCAGGTCGGCTGAAAGAAAGGGTTGGCAACTTGCTTTGCAGTGGTGTCCTGTGCACACTGGAATTGCGGGAAATGAGAAGGCGGATGCCCTCGCTACTGAAGCCCATGGATTTTAGACCCCAACCATTTCCCTTCGCCGGTACAACGAAGCATGGCGATTTATACGAAATTTCTACCAGAAGCGCCACCCACACCGAGAGACGGCTGAAGGACGGCCCCCTCCAGCAATCCCGCGCAAGCTGTCAAGAGAACAAGCGTCAATGTTACATCGGCTGAGGGCAAACTGCGCAAACACAAGGTCAACTCTGCACAAGATTCAACGAGTCAATAGTCCTGATTGCCTACACTGTGTAGCCCTAGAGGACATTGAACACGTGCTACTAGTATGCACAGAATACGAAGAAGAGCGTAAAACCTTGTTTGAACGCTACACTTTCAATGGACTTCTTTCCTCCAACACTCGGGAACTCCTCATCCCAGGAGCCCCACGTCGGCTTGTCCAGAGGGCTTACAAAGACCTCTTGGATTGTTTGAGTGAGACTGGTTTGGCAGACCGTCTTTGATCAAATACCAGACACCGCAAGCAGCAAGGTTGTTAAATTGAAACCCACACTGGTGCCAAAGCCCCAACCCACACTCGTGCCAAAGCCCCATCACATTATTGGACTGGTTCCCAAATTTCCACACTATCTCTTTTAGCCACCTACGGCTCCTCCCCCTTCCCCAAGCCGAGTAGCGACTCGCCCCGTATAGGAGGCCAACATCTCTCCCGGTTTCCCCTTTCCTTCTCTGGACCTCACAACAAGAAGGAGGAGAAGACACGTTTCCAGATTTCGGTTTCTTATCGGAGCGCATCTACGCGCCCGCAATCCTGCTCCCCGGTGGTCGCGGCGTGAAGCCACCTCCTCGCCTCCCTCGTAGAATGGAGGGAAATACGGCGCACGTGTGTTGCGCGTCTCAGCCACTGGGGAGCTGTCTGGCAACTCTGGCTGCCTGACAACTACAAAGTTATCTCGATCGCCATACTGAATCGTGACGACATTTTGACGTCACCGCTAACTTCATTATTTCACCAGCATAGCTCGAACTCCATTGGAATCCGTAGGGAAAAACTCAATCGCAACGTCACATCACGTGACCAAAAGTGCAGCCAATCAGCGACCGATTGAGTTAACTTTATCGTTGAGTTTGCGATCTAGCATAGACAGACAGGACCGCGGGCGCGGTGATGCGCTCCGATAAGGAACCGCAATCTAGAAACGCGTCCAAATAGAGCGTTTTTACAAAATGCTGTAAAATGCTTCCCCGGCGTTATATCCTTCCGAAAGTGATTGATTTAGTGGTTTTCAATGATGCTCTACAAGTTTCTAATTAAAACCATATGTATATTTCCACTAATTAAAAAGTTAATTAACGAATTTTAATTAATTAGCCAACTTATTGCAATGATTAGCCACCCACATAATGTCCGCCTGGCCGTATAACCCACCTGCACAAACCGCAGTAGTGTAGTGTAGCTTTCAAGTTTTTTTTTAAACAAATGTGTAAGAATAAAAATATACATATATTTTTATGATGTGCTGAACTTGAATCATTTTAGAAATTTCCCCCATGAGTTAATTTATTGCTCAATGTGAAAAAAACAAGAAATACATTATTTTGTATTCTGCAGATGGTAATGATATGTACTGTCCGTGGTGTTAATTAAAATGCGATACCTCAAACAATTTAGACGAAAAAAATTACCAAGTTTAGGACATAATTACTCGTAAATACGTGTTTGGATATTTCTTCGAAACTCGTCTTGAACTACGATAATCATATCTTAAGGCGACACTTACCTGGGACTAACGTAGTGATGCAGGCGAGTTGGTTATGCATATTGAAAAGTTGTGAAAGCGCACCCTAAAGACAAATGCGAAGACCTCTTTGCCTCTCAGTCTTTGTATTCGTCTTTATTGTGCACTTTCATTGCTTTTCAACTTACCTAGGCTATACATAGATCATTCTTAGTTGGTTCTTGGTTGGTTCTTCAGTGGCACCGGTTTTGTGTGACATTTATCTTTCTGCCATGGACAAGCGCATATCGAGGAATATTGACGGGATGAACGTGGTCAAGATCTTCCGCTATGTGGATGATTTTTTGGTTATTTTGGGGGAATGTACAGAGAATTGTATGGATAATGACGTGGCAGAAATTGTTAAGCTGTTTAAGTCACTGTCCGGAGGACTGAACTCCACTTGGGAATTGCCTAATGAAGGCAGTATTCAGTTCCTAGATTTACAGCTCTTTTTTTACTAAGGATCATTTGTGCTGGAGTTATAATCCACGAACTAAGAAAGGTCTCCTTTCTTTTAGCAGTGCCCACGCAAAGCTCGTAAAACGGGGGATTGCATCCTCCTGCCTTCACGCAGCCATTACAAAAAGCTGCCAGCATAGACTGCCGGTCAGCTTTGATCAGCAGGTTGAACGCTTGACGAGGGCCGGTTACCCGAAGAGCTTAGTGACAAGTGTGTGTGAAAGGCTCTTACAGGAAATTAAACGAGAGGGTGTTGACAAAAGTCGTGAAAAGACAGACAAGATGCCAGTGCAGGTGATACCATATTTGCACAAAGTGTCCCACAATTTCAAAAAAGATGGCTGTTAGACACAGGGTTAACGTCGTCTTCTCAGCCCCGTGCAAACTTTCAAAGATATGCCCCGCGATGACTAAACGAAAGTCTGTAGTGTGCTCAAAGAAACATGTAACAAGATACACCGAATGCGTGACTAAGGTGGTGTATGAAATTCCTCAGTTGCGGCCAAGTTTACATCGGTCAGACCGGCCGATGCTTTAATGAAAGAGCGCGGGAACATAAGCTTGCCGTACGCAATAATTCAGGTGGGCATCTTGCGGAGCACTGCAAACCATGTGGGTGCGAACCTTTGTTTGAGCGCACAAGGTTTATCAAGAAAGGGAATGAAAAAATGGAAAGGGAACTAATCGAGGCTTTCTGTATACACAAAGCGGCTGACAGATGCGTAAGCATGCCATCTCTTTATCTGTTAACCAAAAAAATTGTGTTTCTTGAAGGATGTGTGTAATGAGAGATAGCAATTTTTATCAGTTGCATGTGTTTAGGCGGTTGGGATCGAGTTTGACGATGATTCGTATTTTAATAAATCAGTTGGAAGTTGGCGCCTGTCTGTGTCGTACGTGTCTCTTTTTTCGTCCTGTTTGTTCGCGCCTTTTAACCTTTTAATCATTCTTAGAAAGTTTACTCCACCATAAATAGGTTCGGCTATACACTCCGTGCGGGAACTATAGGGGGCGCTTTGAAAAACGCGCGCAGCGCCGCTAGCGGAGGAGCTGGCGTTCGACTGTGAGGCGCGTTCAGCAGCCTGCGGCGTCTTTTCGCATGCCAAGCTGTGGCGGCGGAAGCGCGCATGGACGAAACTTTTGCTTTTTGAGCCGATAAGTTCAGGATGACGCTGCATGACTGCTGGGGCAGAAGGGCATTTAGCTGTTCTCCACTTCTTATATATTGAGTTTGAGTCGTTATTAGGGGTAATTTCTCAAGTTGCGGCCGAAAAAGGAGTTGGAGCAATTTTCCGAAAAACATGACGGCCGCCACCATAATTGCTCTGAGTGGGAAATTTATTTCGCTCGTCGCTGTAAACCTAGGACTGCTGGAATGATGATATTTGGAGGCGAGTGAGATGTTCGCCACGTTTGTGCACGAAGTGTGCCAAGTTTCTTTAAACAAGTGGGAAAGTTATGTTTCTAACGAATAAAGAAATAAAGCTGTACGGGATATCCAATATTGGACCCAAAATGTTGTGTTATAACCGGGCTGTGCGAAGCGCAGATTTGGGCACACAGGTGCTTGGACTTGACAGTAACATGACACAGCACTTATTATACAAAAAAAAAAAAAAACTGGCATAGGGAAATTAGGCGCAAATTTGGTTTGGGCGGCGTAACTCAATGGGAACCGGTTTTGACCATGAAAAGGCTGTCAAGAGAATACCACTGGTCGGGGGAGGTGGAGACTTTAGAGGTAAGAAGGGACTAGTGGACTGTACTTCCAATTGAAACAACTTTACGAAAGGTGGTTCCAAAGCCGAGAAAACAAAGTTGTCGGTCAACACATGGTTCGGCCGCCAAGGGCTTTTGCGGTCAGCTCTTGTGTAATAACCTGTTGTGCGAGGTGCTGATTTTCGGCGCACAGGTACTTTGACATGACCGTCACTTGGCACGACACTTATTATAACAAAAAGAGTTGGCATAGCAAAACCAGATGGAAATTTAGTTTGGGCGGCGTAACTAAATGGGAACTGGCTTTGACCGTCAAAGGCTCTCAGATAATACCACTCGTGGTGGGAGGCGCACAATTTATAGGTAGGAAGGGACCAGTGGACGTCACTTCCAGTTCGAACCACTTTACGATAGGTGGCTCTAAAGCCGAGAAAAAAAAATTGTTGTCTACAGAACTCGGGGTGTCAGCGTTTCCACATCCAAAAGGAGGCTGATCAAAAAAGAAAGCAGACCACATAAACTTCCATACACAAACGTCGATTCTCCAGTGGTTCTGAGTTTCATTGTTGTTTTCTTTAGATTTATATTTGTCACTTTTTTTACCGTTCGAATCTTTCTTCATGAAGTACAGATTGCGTGCCATAAACTTGTCCGGAAATATCATCGACAGGTACGATGGGGACGAAATTTCTTTGGAGGGCAATGGCATTTCAGTTCTTCCCATCGGCGCTGACATATGTAGGTGTTACTGGTACGAAAACAAACGCAGAGCGCAAAGCGGCAGTGTAGAATATGTCAACCGTGCCGACACAGTGGCATACATGATCGGGAGACCAAATTTCTCGCGTCGTACGGCACGGCTCCATCGTTGTCGCTGTCCCACAAAACATCGGCGCGGTGAAAAACTGAAACGTAGTCTCCGCGAGATACGACGCATAACTATTGAAGCACTTAATGACGCAGCACAGGCAGCACTTCATGCTGTG